AATAACTTCTATTAGCCGGGTGTATAATTTAATATATGAAAATTATCATAAAAATTATAGGATTTGAAAATTTACCAAAATAATGTAAAATGGAGTTAGTAACCGTATCGTTGACTTAAAGATTTATATGTGTATATTTTTTAATTTCACGTACTTGCATAAAAAATCTTACATATACTTTTCTTACAGCAAGTCAAATACATTAATATCTTTTTCGTTGTAAGATAAAACAAATTAGTTGAGTCTGAGTATCATAATTCAAAGAATCATATTTTTACAATAAATTTCTCTCAAACTCTTATTGAGTTAATTTTTAAGTAAGCATTATATTCATTAATTGGTTACCATGATTATTATTTTACATTATTATTCTATTAATACAACATCTAAATGATTGGTAGTCAGGTGTTACAGCTCTTGTGGAGCATATGGGTACATGCTCATTGTGGAAGCATAGGGTACACTCTCTCGTAGAACATGGGTACATGGTCATGGTGGAAGTCAGGTGATTATACTGGCTCATCTGGTGGAAGCATATGCGTACACTGGCACATCTGGTAGAAGCATATGCGTATACTGGCTCATCTAGTGGAAGCATATGCGTATACTGGCTCATCTAGTGGAAGCATATGCGTATATACTTATCCAGGAAAGTCTACATCTGAGACACGATGGCTGGGTAAGCCTGGAGCTGCTGACCCCAGGTTACCTCATATTCAGGTTGTTTATGCTTCAAATGTGGCGAAATTTCTCCCATGGGTTTATTAAATTCACTTTCATCATACGAATTGTGGAGCTATGGTATATTGATGTTATGCTTCTGAAAACATTTTTCTTATTTTCTGTCAAATGCCCTAGCTCTGGACCAGCGATGCTTTGGACCGGCAGTTGGTGGCTTGTGGACCGGCAGTGGTCCGTGGACCATCATTTTAAGAAGAATCGCTCTAAATATAAAACATGTTTTTCGTCAAACTTATACCAGTTTTAGAAAGCTACACACAAATAACCCGCACTTAGGAAACTGAACTTATGGTGACGGTTAGGTCTGACTTGGACCATCAACTAGTCACAAAGAAGCAAGAAGGTTGATGATAATACGTATATTTGCCAGGAATGAAGTCTTGACATGTTTCTTTTCGCGATGGTGGCCCGTCACTGGCTCCCGAAGGAGTGTCGGAGTTTCTTCACGTGATGTTCCGTTTACAGCCCTATGGCGGGAGCAGCTATATAACAAGGGCATAGTGAGCCTTCTTCAGCATACGTCGTGTAGCAGTTAATTATAATCGTTGCAGGCGCCTTGTAACGGATGTAAAGCACGTCTTTGGTTCAAGTGGTGTCTTCGGAATTGTGTGTACGATGATGTGAGTCATTTCAAACTCAACAGACTTGTCAGTTACCTTCCCCAGTGTTACACAGAGCTCGTTAGTAGGGTTCTTTGATGGAGTGATGGGAGCAAGGAAACAAGTGTTGACTGTTATGGAGGCGTATTATCGGTATACTTAGAGGAGCATAACCTTCACGTCTGCCCCATGCTGTGCCTAGTCGAAAACTGAGAGAGACCTGAGACCTAGCTGCGTGGGTCAGACGGGGGTCACGTGACTTAAGGTTTTGGTAACGGGGCCTGTCTATAAATGTTATGAAATGTATATATATATATATATATATATATATATTATATTATATATATATATATATATATATACATTATATATATATATAATATATATATATATAAGTTAATCATATATATATATAATATATAAGTATACTACATAAATAATACTATCGACACTCGTATGGAGTAGCAGAGGTGCTACTAGTGGTAGAGTCAGGGCCAAGCACATGGTATATGAGGGCCAATGTTCTCGCTGGTACGAGTAACTGTTCCAAAACTGTTCCACTGATCTATTCCCCACAGTAGAGCCGCAGTCACAACACCCAAGTGATTCAGGAGGTTGTCTGTTGCTTCACTGTTCTTTTCTTCTTATATATCTTATACATTACTATTACTACTGCTGCCTCATTACTACTACTACAAATACTACTATTACTATTATTACTACTACTGCTATTAGTGCCGCTAATTCTATGACGACCATCATTGACACTAATACTATTTCTATTGCTCTTACTATTTCTATCACTACTAATTCTACTGCTGCTGCTACTACTATACTACTACTACTACTACTACTACTACTACTACTACTAACTCCATTCTTTGCCTTTCCCTTTCGAATTATCTTCTGGTCTAATTTTCTCGCCACAGCTGTGACTTGACAGTGATCCAGAATGATTTACTGTCAAGTCACACTGTCAGGTTTGACTTATTGGTGAACTGTTCCAGCAACAGTACTGTGACATTTTTCCCCCACTCACTTGACTTAAATGACAACCTGAGGCAATGACAGAATTCAAGACAATGAATTGACTCGATGCAATGACCTGACTCAAGGTAACGATCTAACTCGATGCATTGCTGACTAGAAACGATGACCTGGCACGAAACAATAACTTGACTAAAAGAAACGATCTGACTCGAGGCAATGGTTTGGCCCATAGTAATGATCTTGGTGGAAACAATGATCAGTACTCGCAGCAGTGACCTGACCAAGGCAATAACCTGACTAGCAGTAATGACTTCGAAACAATAAAGACGAAATGATCACGACATACAAAATACTACTATTTCTAAACAGGGTACAAAAAATCAAGACAGAAGACACTAAAGGACTTAGAGAGGGTGGAAGAGGATGTAATTTTTACCGGGGATGTATCAAGGACAAGGAGGTAGTGTTGGTAAATTATACAACTTAAATATTCTACAGCAAAATTATGAAGCATTTCTTCAATGATAAATAAGTGGAATCAATGAATAAAGAAACAACTTAGTGGATCAGAACTCTCAACGTGGATTCAAATACGGGTTTGACAAGGCTTAATCATGTAGGTTTGTCGCCAAGCAAGAGGCTGCAGTTCACACCCTAGCATACTTAAATATTAAGAACAACAACAACATAAACAACAACGATAACAAAAACATCAACATCAACGTGAAATACAATACCAACAACAATAACGGAAAATATGAGAAAATTTCTAAAGAACAGACTGGATATTACCTTAGTTTTATGAGAAGGAGCACCGGAGAATTCTGCTGCTCCTGAACGTAAGCTAATTGAAACTGGGCCACTGACTGACGTTGAAAACATTAAAAATTCTCCAGTTTACAAGAAGTGAAATAGTCAGGAAACATAAAACTGAAGATAAGCTTTACTTATTGGCAGTAGAAAAGAAAAAGAAACAGCACAGCACTAGGAAAAAATATATACAAGATAGAAATGGTAAATACTGCATTACCTCACAAATCTCTTACAGTTTTATGACAGTTATGGGAGAAAAAGGTTGAGAAGGATGCTTACCACATAGAGTGGAGGTAATATGGAAACTCTCAGGCCAGTCCTCAAACTAACTGGACGGTGCTCTTAATGTAAACTGGAAGAGCGGCCTCCGGTAATGAATAGAAAAACAAGTGAAAAATAGTAAGATAGGAGGTAACAGACATCATTCAGGTATAAAAAATGACTCACCCAGGATCCATACTGATCCCCTTCTATACATAATATATACCTGCTATACATAATATATACCTGCTGGATATAAACACTCATATGTATCAATCTTGGTGGATGATATAAAAATAATTAGGAAGATAATGCCTGGCCAACATGGTCAGGAAAGAGGTTACCTGAATTTATTCGATACGAATGCAAAGTAATGAAAATAAAATAAGAATACAATGAGAAAGGTGAGGCTCCGTAATTAATTGCAAACACGAATGTTCATAGAAATTTTTTACCCCCCATACGTATATCCATAAATATTTATTAACTGCATATACAAAGCCAGCTAATCAAATAATTGCTTCATGTGCGTCAAAAACCCTACATTTAGGAGAATATGTATGGATAAGGTAGGTAAAGCCCGTCTTGGAATATATATATCTGAAGGTTTGCAACAATACTGGTGCTGGTACCAAGAGAAAAGTCTTTGGGGGGCCTGAGGGAACATTATTTTTATATACAGAATATTCATGTTATTAAAAACTATGGATAAGAGCTGGCTGTTTGTAATGACAGGAGACAGCTGGAATTTGAAGATGTCCATGAGCAACCTGGACTTATGATGCACACTTTTATTCTCATGGAAGCAGTAATCCATGGGTGGGTGAAACATTTTCTTAAACTTTGCAACTGCTGCTTGTGTCTTCATGAACTACATGTCGGTAATCTTATACCACATGTTGTAACTCAGCGTTTTAAGTGAATCTGACTAGACGAAGTTGTGGCGGTGGGATTCACTGTACTCCACTTTAGTATTTAATGTGATCGGACATTGAAAGGTATTATTTTTGTTATCTCAAGATAATTTACATAAAACTGTGAAAAACTCATATGCTGCTCAGGATAACTGCATAACAGTTGTCAAATATATAGATGGAAAAATTTTAAAGCAAGACGTTTTCAACGAATATTTGCCAAAAACTGGAATGTACATCTGTTTTGTTTTCCCAGAACTAAAATATTAATAAAAAGAGATACAAAATAGTTCATAGAGTTAATGGAAATGAGAAGTAATGGAAGACTTAAAACATCAAATACGATATGTAACGTAAAAAATAATATACGAAAAATGGATATTTTTTAGTGTCTTCAACCTTGGCAAAGATGATTCAAATGTAAACTAAAAAAATGGAGTTGAAGGGATACCAGAAGTTATAAAAGGGAACCTTGTGAAAGCTTCACTAATGGGAAACTTTTAGCAAAATGTGTCAAAAAATTACTGAATATGGGATATGACGAGAATAGTTCTGCTCTTGTAGCTGTTAAAAGGTTATTAAGACCCTGGTGGTTTAGCGCTTAGTTTTGATTACAATAATAATAAAAGGTTATTGCAAGTATATAATTTCATACACCCATTTACATCCTTTTCTGCTTTAGCAACTGTGGGACCACATCTGTCTAGTGCGAGCTTGTGTGAACCACTGGAAGACCACCCCGTGGAGGGAAGTTGATGTTGAGAATATGGACATCGAGTGCAAGAAGTTTGCCAAGGATTTAAGAGGTAAGAAAGACAATATAATTATATATCTTAGTGTCCTTGTAATTCTGATGAAGATTAATGATGCATTTCGAATTCTTTAAATTCTGTCTTAGTCATTATTTCCACGTGAGGGTTTCAACCGTCGCGAAAAGTGTTTATTCAGTTCTGTTAATTCATAAAAATTAACCCATATTGTCGACGCTTGGTTTGCAGACTTGGGGCTGAAAGGGATAAATTTATATTTTATATATATATTAATATTTGTTATATTTATATATATATATAATATATATTTAATTATATATATATATATCTATAATAAAATATATATATATTTTATATTATATATATAAATAAAATTTTAAATTTATATAAAAATATATATAAAATTTTTATTTTTTAATATATATATATATATATATGTCGTGCCGAATATGTAAAACTGGTCAATTAGCTGAACTCATTTAAATTAAGTCCTTTCTAAAAATTTTCTCCTATAGTTTAAAGTATTTTCTTTTCTTTAATGTTAATAAAAAAAATTTTAAAATTTTTGCTCCAAAAGAATCTTAGAAAATTTACCTAACTTTTATAAAAAAAGAACAATTTTTTTTTAGCCTAACCCAACAAAATATTTTTGATTTTTTTACAATAATTTAATACAAACAAACACAGGAAATATATTTTTTTCGTTAGGTTTGAATGATTTTGGGGAAATTATTGAAACACAAATTTCCACTTTTCCCAATTTTGGGAAGATGAACGTTGCTATTTAACCAAAATCGCAAAATTTGCTATTTGGCACGCATTATAATTTTTATTTAATATATATATTATATTTATATATAATATATATTTTATATATATATATATATATATATATATATATATATAATATGTGTGTGTTGGGGGTGTGGTTCACCCGTTTTTGGGGTTTAAGGGGGGATCTTTCCCTGGCCCCCCCCTTTCATGGTCCTACTGGGTCCTCTCTCTCCCCGCCCATGAGCTTTAGCAAACCCCCGTCTTTAAAACTATGTTGGTTCCGCCTCACTACGCCATTTCTAGGCTATTTATGCCTGACAACTTATAATGAAGAAAAATTCCTAAAAATCCCTTTGGCTCTCTGGTCTTCAAATTCAATTTGACCCCTTGTTTTTGTGTCCCCCCCCCTGGAAATACTGTCTTTTTCCACCTTGTCTATTCCACCAGTATTTTATATTGTACTCACCTATTTGTTTCACCCATTTGTGGTTGGGGTCGATCTTAGCTCCTGGCCCTTCCCCTTCACTGGGTTTCTAGGGGGCCTCTCTCTCCCTGTTCCCGGCTTTATCAAAACCGTCTTAAAAAAACGTTTGGTACTCCGCGCGCGCAAATGTGTGTGTGTGTGTGTCGTGCCTAATAGGTAAAACTGGTCAATTAGCAGAACTCGTTTATAATTTTGCACCAAAAGAATCTTAAAAAACTTACCTAACTTTATTATAAAAAGCGAAATTAATTTTAGCCTAATCCAACTAAATATATTTTAGATACGTTTACAATAATTTAATACTAAACAAACACAATGAAATATATTTTTTCGTTACGTTCAGAATGATTTTTACGAAATTATTGCATACACAAATTTTCGCTTGTCTTATATGGCAAGATGAGCGTTGCTATTTAAGCCAAGATCCCAAGTTTTATATATTCGGCACGACATTATATATATATATATATATATATATATATATATAATATATATATATATATATATATATATATATATATATATATATATATATGGTACTTTTGTTTAATATTGTATGAAAGAGGGGAAGGTACCTAGGGATTGGCGGAGAGCATGTATAGTCCCTTTATATAAAGGGAAAGGGGACAAAAGAGACTGTAAAAATTATAGAGGAATAAGTTTACTGAGTATACCAGGAAAAGTGTACGGTAGGGTTATTATTGAAAGAATTAGAGGTAAGACAGAATGTAGGATTGCGGATGAGCAAGGAGGCTTCAGAGTGGGTAGGGGATGTGTAGATCAAGTGTTTACATTGAAGCATATATGTGAACAGTATTTAGATAAAGGTAGGGAAGTTTTTGTTGCATTTATGGATTTAGAAAAGGCCTATGATAGAGTGGATAGAGGAGCAATGTGGCAGATGTTGCAAGTATATGGAATAGGTGGTAAGTTATTAAATGCTGTAAATAGTTTTTATGAGGATAGTGAGGCTCAGGTTAGGGTGTGTAGAAGAGAGGGAGAATACTTCCCGGTAAAAGTAGGTCTTAGACAGGGATGTGTTATGTCACCATGGTTGTTTAATATATTTATAGATGGGGTTGTAAAGGAAGTAAATGCTAGGGTGTTCGGGAGAGGGGTGGGATTAAATTTTGGGGAATCAAATTCAAAATGGGAATTGACACAGTTACTTTTTGCTGATGATACTGTGCTTATGGGAGATTCTAAAGAAAAATTGCAAAGGTTAGTGGATGAGTTTGGGAATGTGTGTAAAGGTAGAAAGTTGAAAGTGAACATAGAAAAGAGTAAGGTGATGAGGGTGTCAAATGATTTAGATAAAGAAAAATTGGATATCAAATTGGGGAGGAGGAGTATGGAAGAAGTGAATGTTTTCAGATACTTGGGAGTTGACGTGTCGGCGGATGGATTTATGAAGGATGAGGTTAATCATAGAATTGATGAGGGAAAAAAGGTGAGTGGTGCGTTGAGGTATATGAGGAGTCAAAAAACGTTATCTATGGAGGCAAAGAAGGGAATGTATGAAAGTATAGTAGTACCAACACTCTTATATGGGTGTGAAGCTTGGGTGGTAAATGCAGCAGCGAGGAGACGGTTGGAGGCAGTGGAGATGTCCTGTTTAAGGGCAATGTGTGGTGTAAATATTATGCAGAAAATTCGGAGTGTGGAAATTAGGAAAAGGTGTGGAGTTAATAAAAGTATTAGTCAGAGGGCAGAAGAGGGGTTGTTGAGGTGGTTTGGTCATTTAGAGAGAATGGATCAAAGTAGAATGACATGGAAAGCATATAAATCTATAGGGGAAGGAAGGCGGGGTAGGGGTCGTCCTCGAAAGGGTTGGAGAGAGGGGATAAAGGAGGTTTTGGGGGCAAGGGGCTTGGACTTCCAGCAAGCGTGCGTGAGCGTGTTAGATAGGAGTGAATGGAGACGAATGGTACTTGGCACCTGACGATCTGTTGGAGTGTGAGCAGGGTAATATTTAGTGAAGGGATTCAGGGAAACCGGTTATTTTCATATAGTCGGACTTGAGTCCTGGAAATGGGAAGTACAATGCCTGCACTTTAAAGGAGGGGTTTGGGATATTGGCAGTTTGGAGGGATATGTTGTGTATCTTTATATGTGTATGCTTCTAAACTGTTGTATTCTGAGCACCTCTGCAAAAACAGTGATAATGTGTGAGTGTGGTGAAAGTGTTGAATGATGATGAAAGTATTTTCTTTTGGGGATTTTCTTTCTTTTTTGGGTCACCCTGCCTCGGTGGGAGACGGCCGACTTGTTGAAATATATATATATATATATATATATATATATATATATATTATATATATATATATATATATATATATATATTATATATATATATATATATAAACCGCAAATAAAAGAGAGAAGCTTATGACGACGTTTCGGTCCGACTTGGACCATTTACAAAGTCACACTAACCAGAAGTGGAGCAGGACGGCTATTTATAGACAGGAAGAGGTGGTGGAGGTAGTAGTAGTAGTGGTAGTGGTAGTAGTAGTAGTAGAGGTTAGTAGTAGTGGTAGTAGTGGGGAATAAGGAGGAGGAGCCAGTTAAATACATAGAAAGGGGAGCACTGCAAGGGAGCTAGGTGCCCACAGAGGGAGAGCAAGTGCACAGAGGTGGGTGAAAGGGGAAGTGGTGAAATAAATAAAGAAGGAACAGAAACACGAGACAGAAGGAAGAAAGACAACCCAGAGGAGAAAAAGGAAAGAGGAAAGGGGAAGAGGAAGAAGAAAAAGAAAAAGAAAAAGAAAAAGAAAAAATGAGGAGTCAGGTTAAGTCACGGGTGTTCTGAAGTTTGGAACATTTTACAATGTAGTGGGAGACGAAGGCATCTACAGAGACGAAGCCAGGACTAAGATTCATACAAGGAAAGTTGTGTATTAGAGAGGATTCAACTAGACGGCGACTGTTCGAGTTGGAAGTAGGGAAGACAGTTTTAGCAGAAGACCACTCAATAGGATGGCTGTGATCTCTGACGTGACAGAAAAGAGCGTTGTTAGTGTCGGCAAGCCTAAAACTATTTTTGTGCTCCTTAAGTCTGTCAGAAAGAGATCGACCAGTTTCTCCGAAGTATTGAAGAGGACAGGAGGAGCAAGAAATAGAGTAGACACCAGGAACATCTGTAGAGGGAGGAGAGGTATGAACGAGATTAGTGCGAAGAGTGTTAGTCTGGCGGAAGGTGAGCTTGATGTCTAAGGTACGGAGAGAATTGTTGAGATTAGAAAGACCGGAAATGTAGGGAAGGCAGAGGACAGAAGAGTTCCCAGGGGTAGAGAGTTTGGGAGAGAACAAATTACGTTTAGCACGTGAGAGGGCAGAATCTATGAAATGGGAAGGGTAGCCAAGACGGAAAACGAATTGTGAAGAGTGGAAATTTCTGCTGGAAGGAACTGAGGATCACAGATGCGGAGGGCACGGAGAAAGAGGGAGATAAGAACACTTTTCTTGACAGGGGAAGCATGATAGGAAAAGTAGTGAATGTGCATGCCGCTGTGCATAGGTTTTCGGTAAACGGAAACCTGCATCTGAGCGGTGGATATGGACATCAAGGAAAGGAAGCAAGGAATTAGATTCCCATTCAGCTTTAAACTTAATGGAAGGGGCAAGATTATTAAGAGCTTCAAGAAAAGGTTGGAAGAGACCGGAGTCATGAGGCCAATGAGCAAAGATGTCATCCACATAGCGTAGCAAGAGTGAAGGTTGCACATCGATGGTAGGAAGAACAGTCTCGAAGTATTCCATGTAAAGGTTAGCAAGG